TTTAAAACCGTTGTACATAATCGACGTAAAAACGCACGTTTAATAAAAATATAGAAACGAATTAAACTGCGAAATATTTGATACACTTTATTGTGCTATTTGATAAAATACACAGTGGGCATTTTATCAATTCTTACTTGAGATCTTACTTTTACATTTAGATTAGAATAGTATACAACAGCTTTAATATGCACTGAGTATAATATCACTAGTTCTGCCAATGAAAAAAACATATTATACTAGAATGTTAACATTTCGTGAACCTTGCAGTCCACTTTATCAGGGCGAGGAGCAACCTGATACTAGGCTGTTCCTCCGGACTATTATTTTACCCTGCTTGTTAGATTTATTGTACCCTTTATATTACGCTACTTGTTGGGTTTATTGTTGTACGTACAATTTATTATACGTAACATGATTTTCAGTACCGACAATGTATTCTTAAATCAAGAAATTATGTTTAATTGAACTTTCCTCCACCTCAGTTATCAATTAAAGTATTTTAGTTGTATATTTATACATCTCGGGTAAAAGTTGAAAAGTTCTAACTTATTCTCGCGTAATAATTACTCGGCTTTATGATTCTTCTTAAAAAGAATTATAAAATCGTTACGTTTTTTTATTAACTAAGTGTGGCTTTAAAGAAATGGCACCTTGTTTAAATACGCCGCTGATACTCAGTGAACGTGAACGTAGACTTGTTAGACTATTTGTGGAACTACAACTGCTTAGACTAGTACTAGGTGTGAGATCAAAGATCGTTTGTACAGTAGGTGGACATCTTGTGGATGAATAATCCGGGATCGATTCTACAATAAAGAGATAATAATTAATAAATTATTTTGATAGATTCCAAAGCGCTTTTATAGATTTAGAATTACATAATAACTTGTGCATTTTTACCTATTAAAGGTGTTTCGTCGTATAAGGAACCCTGTCTTTTATTACTGATAAAGGAATTTCTCGTGCTTTCAATGCTAGACACCCTTTGAATAACTTCCGCGGCATGTTTCCACCTCGAATGATCGTTGATGTGTACCAATAAGAGCTTTGACCATTTTTGAGCTTCCTCCTTTGATTCGAATTTAATTGACAACAGCTTTTCCATATTGTTGCCAGAGTTATTTATCAGAATTTCTTTGCCGGAAGTTTTGGACGGTTGAATAATTGTTCTCTATACAAACAATAGAAAAAATTATTTAAATGAAATAACGCAATGCAATTATGTAAGAGATCTATAAAAAAATATCGACTAACTTTATTAATAGATATTATGTGTTCCGGATTTTGACCTTCTTCCGCATGCTTTTTTGATTCCCATATTTTTATATAAAATCCTTGCAGACGTGCCCAATAATCTTGACCATCGATTTTCACATTGCCAATGCACATTTCCTTATTAATAGATTCTGGCTGTACCGCCAATCGACAGCAAAAGTGACCGAAAAGCGGCAGGGAGTGATACTTGTTCTCTAAAGAAAGAATTATGATATAAATATTTTGAGAAATTCGGCGAACTCTCGCACAACTTACCGATGCTATTAATAACAAGGTCATGCGTGTGAGTATTATCATCCGTGTCGTCTAAGGTCAGTTTAGCACGAGCTACTAAATCAAAGTATGGTCCACTGAAAAGAAAGTACATAAAAGTCAAAATTTATGAATGAAGCTCAATTAATTTATATATTTATGAAAGCAGAAACTCACGATTTAGCGGAACCGAATTCGTCACGAAGCGAAGCAGCGAGCTTCTTGCCGACAGTTTTCGAAATCGACGAGTGAATAGTCTTTTTAATTCTTCTCGGCGTGCTGGCGATACTTAAATCCTCTTGCAAAACATGACTATAGACTTCTAAAATTAACTCAAATTCGGCTGGCACGTTATTACTGAAAATAGATGCAAAAATTGACAATTATAACATTGTTATGCATGTTCTTTGAGTAGCATAATTACAAATAACTTTAACTTGTTCTTGTGTCTCAAAGAATGTGTTAATCATCGAAACTTACAACAATAAGACATCGGGAAAGCTGAGATCCGTATGAGCTCTATCAATGGGGCATAATAAGGAAGTGTCATGGATTTCTGTGCCCAATCGTGCTAAGCAAAATACGGCGAATCGACGATGATCACCACGATTCTTGAAGTGATCAGAGTCTCTCCACATTAACGGTATCCTAAGATCCGAGATTGACAACTTTCCCGTACTTCTAGAAATACTGGAAACACACATTATACGTTTTAATTATTACTAAATTATAAACTCTTTTTTAATTTGATATTCATTCGTATAAGATAAACTATGAAGAAATGACAGCTAATCAAAATAATTTAAATTGTATTTACCAAAAAATTAAATTTACTAAACTTGTAATTTTTATTCTGTTTTAATGTTTGGACTTGTATGATGTAAATTAGAATTTGCGTTTAGTTATGCAATCAATATTGAAAAGGTCCTAGTAAGGATGAAATATTTGTTATTTAAAAAATTTGAAAGAAATATTAGCAATAAAAACTAGCATTGATAGCTCCTACTTTTACTTATATTACTAAATTGTTATGTTCAGGAGATATATTGAATATCTCTTCTTATTATTTCTGACATATGATAAAACAAGCGATATGAACAAACCAGGATTGTTTAGAAGATTCGCGGCGGCGGCTTTGCAATTCCGCCATGTAAACCGACATCCTCTCGTTGGACGTAAGCAACGCTTTAGCGGCCTCTAAGCTCTGGGCGCGATGCTTCGCAGCCGCCAAAAGTCTCGCTGAGCCTTCTCTCATCTTGATTTCCACTTCGATCTTCTGCTCCAGATCATGCTCCTGCAACATTATTCATGGTATTTTAACAATTAATTCGCGCATCATCGATTCAATCACGAAAATCTTGTTGGAATAATCATTTAAATTTTAAATAGTTATTTTAAGAGACCATCAATTCGCATATGGTTGTAGGAAACGTAATTTTGCATCGGTGTCTTGCTGAATATGTAAAGAAAAAAAAGGAAAGAACGACCGATAGTTACGATCGGAGAAAAATTGAAATGTCAGCGATAAAATAAGTGGTTGGCCAGCACGTGGCCCCATCACGCGTTCATGGCATCGGGTTACATACCTAACGAAACGTCTTACACATTTTGCGAACGAATCGTTTTACTCATTTTACCGGTCTTCCTGAGATGTCCATAGATCAACTTGTAAAGCGTACAATTTGAAAACTCCGCGATTCCGAGTAGGATCTCAGAATTGTAGAGTTTTCAAATTGTATGTTTTATAAGCAAGCATGTAAATAATTATGAAACTAATTGTCTGGACAATTGTCTGCGCCGCTACATCAATTATTTCTTCAAATTATTGTTAAAGTATTAAAAATTATGGCTTTACACATACATTGGCATTAATAATTTATATTTAGAATTGTGAAACTAATATTGTCACACACACACACACACACACAAAAATAATAAATGTAAATGTGAAGGCTATAGGATTCAACGCTGGTTATAAACATGCATAATATTTTAATAATAATACAAAATTAATAATTAATACAAAAAATTGAGATGTTTCAATTCAACTTTGAGTTCAATTCATCTTTAGCCTATACCTCTTAAATATAATGCTAATTTAAAATATTGCATCGCAAATTAATATCCAAATTTCCTGAATGTGATCGTCATGGAGCAAACGTGAAACAATTTAAGTGTTGTTAAACCGATAAAACATGTTTTGATTATTACGTAATGTTCAATCTTTTAAATTTTAATGTGTGACGAGAAAGAAACGTTTGACTTCATTATAATAATTATTAACTGGTTGTGGCCGCTCTGGATTTTGTGAACTTGATTTCTTACCACAGCTTTGAAACTCTCTCTCTCTCTCTCTCTCTCTCTCTCTCTCTCTCTCTCTCTCTCTCTCTCTCTCTATTGTTAGACAACATTCACTGTTGGAATGGCTTGTTGTCTCACGTTTGACGACCACCATTCAAGAAATTTGGATATTGCGATGCAATATTTCAAATTAACAGTATTATGTTTAAGAAGTATAGGCTTAAGAAGTAACGACTTAAAATTGAATTGAAACGTTCCAATTTCTGGATTAATTTATTATTAAAATACTACGCATGTTTTTATAATCAGCGTTGATTTCTATAGCCTTCACGTTTATATTTATTATTATTGTATTAATAAAAGGAATCTTTTAACAATTAGTTTAATTTAATTGATTAATATTGTCACACTTTTAAGAATAGTTTGAAGAAATCCGATATAATGACGTACTGTTCAGACAATTAATTTCGACAATATATACGTAATAGTATATATACTAAGAAAAATATCGATTAGAAGTTCGGTTATCTCAACTAGAAGATTCCAGAAAATTCTAATTCATCCATTT